GACAGCAATATATCCATCTATGGCTTGCTGTGGTTCCAAGAGCATGTTTATAAACTCACATCAATGTGACTGTCGCCCCACACACCAGGTCTCAATTCAGATTAACATCTGTAGAACAAGTCGAAGTCAATGACCAACCAGCTAAACACAGGGAACCTTTGGAGTCAGCATGGACTAGCAACTTGCCTGAAACAAAGGAGGTTGTCCTGAGAGCAAAAGGCAGTGCAATGTAATATTAAGAGGGCAGCTATGGTGTTTTCTACACTTCACCAATAAAGGTAAATGCAAAGCACCCAGTTTAATAACTGCAAAATTAAAGCCAAACAAATCCTAACACACTTAGCCTAATGTGATTTTAATTGTGCAATTCATTTCAACAGCAACTCAATCAAAACAAAATAATTATAAGAAAACCAAGGTAGCGGCGATTAGTCATGGACCATAGAACAGCGGATGTGCAATAATACAATATATTAGCTTCCTCGCACTAAGAAAACCACAAAATTGACTTTGAAATGCTTTGCTCGACCAGTGGGCGATTTTAACCGCCTGAGTCCCAGGCTTTTGTTTGGTGTGCATGTTTTATTTCCTTTAGCTATTTGAGATTAGTAGGACCTCATAATCATAAAATCCAAACATTATTTTTTTGAACAATTAATAGTTTTAAACTAAATGGAGGATAATGTAACACAGAGGTTGATCATGGTATATGCCAGTTAACATGAAATATTAAATGAAGTTAAACCGTGAGCTTTGTAGGAAAAATTAGCTCAAATAATTTCTGTCTCCACCAATATGTAGGGAAATTAATTATTATTTTCTTAAATGAATGATTGATTGATTCATTCATTCATTGGTTATTAATTAATTATTATGCTCGAATGGTTTGTATCTCCAACAAACAATATTATAGAAGTCCCAATTAGTCAGTTACTGGAGATTTAGTTCCAGGATATGAATGGAATTCATTAATTACAGTATCACGACTTAACCTGGGTTAGAACATTCATTCTCACCAAGTAATGTAGCAACTCTGTAGCAAAAGCCTGCTCACGGCTGTAAAGAGAGTCTCGCGGAACTTAAGACAAATTTGGCACTTAAAACTCAGTAGCAATTTCACACCAGAGAAGAGACTTATTATAGACAATAACTGAGATGGAGATATAAGATAAATAAAAGGCATGCATTTATTTCTAACACTACAACTAACACACAACAGACATTACACTTAAAACACAAACACAAAATAAGAGAAAGAAAATCAAAGAGCAAGATGGAAAATATGGAAGCCTTTTTCTGCCAATGTGATGAGAAAAAGAGATCCTGTAAGTCATTATAATGAGAAACTTTCTCGAAATAAGGACTAAGGATCTCAAAATAATTTCCACTTAATATCTCGAAATTACGACTTACTATCTCAAAATATCTCGAAATAACAAGACTAATATACTGAACTTGATTGGAATGTTTGCTGTTTAATACACCTATTATAATTCAGTTGCCTGTGGATGCTTTTTAACATCAATATGGTTAACGTATATGTTCTTGTAAAATAAAAGTATTTTTTTTCTTTATAAAATTTGGTTTTTGAAGAACAGATGATGAAAGAGGACCAATATGGTACTTGGTCATTATTTCAAGACTTTATCGTTATTTTGACATACAAAGTCATTATTTCGAAATACTAAGTGATTATTTTGAGAAAGTTTCTCATTATTTCGAGATAGTAAGTTTTTATTTCAAGATACTAAGTCATTATTTCAAGAAAGCCTGGACCAGGCTGGATCTTTAAATCAAGCCTCAGATGGTTGTTATTCTTGGGTTTCCAAATTCAAGCCATAAAACTTGGAAAGCTGGTCTTCCTTTTACCTTGTTATGTGAATGTCTTGAGTGAGTGAATGTGTGTGTGTGTGGTTCAGATATACCTTACCTTGTGGGGACCAAATGTCCCCACAACATGATTAATACCCATTTTTTGACCTTATGGGGACTTGTTTTTCTAAAAATTCATGACTGCAATCAAAAAACTAAAAATGCAAAAACACATGTATTTTGTTTGGTTATTTATGGTTATGGTTAGGGTTGAGTTGGGCTTAAGGATGTCATAGTTTGCATTAGCATTTTTGCCATAGAAATGAATGAGCAGTCCCCACGAAGATATGATTACAGGTCTGAGAGTGAGTGTGTGTGTGTGTGTGTGTGTGTGTGTGTGTGTGAGAAACAGTGAGATCCTACCTAGACATCTGCAAAAGTTCATGATGATATTGTAAACACAGTTTAATTATATAAAATATTATATAAAATATATTTAATTATATAAAATAATTATGCTGTAATGGAATATGCACTTATCTGAAGCAATCTTAAGCAATCACCTGGGTGTGACAAGATTAGCTGAATGTATGGGCCAAGTCTGAATACTACAACAAATCCTAAGGGAAAGTTTGGGTAGAGCTGGTACATTTGTGCTTCACCATCCTTGGAGGGGTCTTCATAAGTGGAACCTCAAATAGAAGAGAGGGAGGGACAGGGCTTTGAGCAATGTTTTTGAGTTGCTATAGCAAGAAAGGGATGTGGCAAGGGGATTTGGAGCAGGGATTTGTTGAAGGACAAGACAGTCTGAAAGGAAGAAGTTGTGTGCTAATCATAGTTAAGGATGTCCTACCCTCGGGAAAGCAGTGGGCATCTCGTCCAACATACTGTATCCGAGATCTATTCTACACAGGAATGTCACTGTCACCATGACATGCCCTGGTTGTCCGATCCTCCCGTGTGCCACGCCCCTTCATCTACCTCGTGTGGAACCCTCATGTTATCAGCTGTTCCTAGTTGTATCTAATGAGTCTTGTATAATTAAGTCCGTGTTAGAGTATGTTTCCCCAGTCCAGTCATTAGCATCTTTATGTTGTTTTCTTGTTCCTGAGTGTGTTTCCCGAAATAAACCCCATGTTCACCTGATTTCATCGAGTCCCCGCCACAGTCACGACACACCAGTCATATCAGTTTCCCCATTTTCATTAAATTTGAATTAAGTTAGGTAAGGTTCTACAACAAAATATTGTTCATATCTTCTGGTAAGTATTCAGACTCAAATATGGTAATAAGAGGAGTACACTATGGTAAAGTATCTTATTCAAAGCACAGTAAAAATTTTAGAAATATAGCTAGATATAATTATTTAGGCATTTAATAATGGAGGAATTACTTTTATTATAGTTGTGAATTCAATAGCTAAACTTCACATTTTATGGAGGAATTCTAACCTCTCATACTTGTGGCCTCCCAGATTTTTTTGCAGATTCTAGCTGAAAGGATAGATCATGTTTGGACTAATAGGACAGATGGTCCATGGCAGAGGCAACATTCTGAAATACAATTCATGTTTCATTTTTCACAAACTTTGCACAATGTGTTACAGGCATGAAATTATGATGGCCCTGTCTAATTTATGCCCAGTTTAAACAAGCAGCACATTTGATTAAATCCATTTGGTCAGATTTTCATACTCACAGCAAAAATTTAGTTCCTTACTCAGACAGAGGGATACATGTGTGTATGTCTGCGTTCTTAACATTGGATTATTGCTAAGTGTAGCCATTTTAAGGTGTGTGTTTTACAAAATCCTGGTCTTGAGTTTTTCACCATCATTGAGTATAATATTTTGGAGTGATATGCAGTTCTGTACTGGTTTGTTGATGGTAGGTTGGTTGAGCCTAACAGGCAAAAAATTCTAGTCCAAATTAGTTTTAAAAAGGAACCACCACTGTTCTCTGGTAACACTGCTGCTAATATGGTACGCACATCATTTCAAGCTATGAGGGCAACAGAAACATCCAATGGCTTTCAAGGTATAAAAGGGTTTTGAAATATTGCTGGAATGAGTCATCCATTAGTTGTCGGACACAGTTTAATCAGGGCAGCTTTGCACATCTAATGCAAATAGAGATCTTCACTTAAAAGTGCCACACTAAATATTCTGCTTCATGTATGATACAAAGCCAACTTGAGGGTTTTGTTCACACTTTATACTCACTAGATCATACTCAATGTTATAGACACTGTATACTCACTAGATCATACTCAGTGTTACAGACACTGCATACGCACTAGATCATGCTCAATGTTGCAGACAGTGCATACTCACTAGATCATACTCTATGTTATACACAATGTATACTCACTAGGTCATGCTCAGGGTTATGGAAACTGCATACTCACTTGATCATACTCAGTGTTATAGACTCTGTATACTCAGTAGATCATACTCAATGTTATAGACACTACATACTGACTAGATCATACTCAGTGTTATAGACACTGTATATTCACTAGATCATACTCAGTGTTATAGACACTGCATAACCACTAGATCATACTCGATGTTGCAGACACTAGACACTTATTAGACCATACTCAATTTTATAGACAATGCATAGTCACTAGATCATGCTGAATGTTACAGATACTGTATACTTACTAGATCATGCTCGATGTTATAAACACTGCATATTCACTAGATCATACTCGATGTTTTAGACACTGAACGCTCACTAAATCATGCTCGATGTTATAGACATTGTATACTCACCAGATCATGCTCAATGTTGAAAACCTTGCACACTCACTCGATCATACTTGATGTTATAGACAATGTATATTCACTAATCATACACATTGTTATACACACTGTACACTCACCTGACATTAGTATTATTCATATTTTAATGCTTGAGACCAGGGGCATGAGAATGGTGGGGGAGAGATGCCCACCCCCCCATCCCCCAATACTTAATATGGTTTCATTTGTCCCCCAATAAACAATCTTTGCATTTAAATTATTAAGCCTCCCCAATATCAAACTCTCTCCTACGCCACTGCTTGTGATGCATAATACTTCGTAACTGGGATGTAGTTAATTTACAATTTGGTTGGCCAAAACCTCAGACTGCGAGGGGAGTGCACCCCCCTAATCTCACTCTCCTGTTCCCTTGAGCACTAACCTGTAGCAGGTACTTTCTGAGCAGGGGTTGTGCACACGGACAATGACAAATACGTGCTGAAAATGGGAGCGGATGTTTTTAGGGGTGAAGGGTTGGGCGCCGGGCTCCTGGAACACGATGGTGACAATGTCATTCCCAATATGTCGCTTCCTCAGGAGCTGCCAGACAGGAAAACAGAAAACAGCATGTCAGACTGCAATAGCGACGTCAGATCAAACTATGTGCTCTCCCAGGGCTCTGTAATTATCAAACATTGCTGTTAGCGAGCAATGCAAATTACTGTTAAATATTAAAGTAAGTGGCCTGGGAATTGTTTACAGCTTTTATGTTAGCCTCAAACAGAAAACCAATAGAACATAATGCCTTACTTGCTGTTTGTTGTTGGGCGTGTAGGGCAGCATGGTGGACACATGGAACATGATCTCATAGTCCTTGTAGGTGGTGAAGAGTGAATGTGTGCCTGTGGAGTCCGCTGTAAGGAAACATCGACAGCAGGGCTTGTCAGACTCTCACTCACCTCCCAGATAAAAATACCGCCTGGCTACTTCTACAGAGCTGGAATCCAACATTCTCACCATTCGTCTGCAACAAAAGGCTTTAACCAAGACAAACAAAGGCACCACTGAGCAGTTCTGACTTTGATCTTCAATTACAAATTACCTTTTGCTTTGTGACCAACCATCTTCTGTTCTGGGTTCTGTAATAATTTCTTGTTGACACTTATAAACAAATTTTGTTTAACAGGCCTCCTATCCAAAGATGATTTTTTTAAAAAAAAAAAAAAGCAAAGCAGTGCAAATATAACTAAAACCCATTGATATGTTCTTGCAGTTCAAGAAGTAGGGCATTGTGCTAACTGCACAAAGGTTGTGGGTTTAAATCCCAAGGTTTACACACACATTGTAACCCTTCCCTTTACTGTAAGTTGCTCTGGATAAAAAACATCAGATAAATGAGTCAAATGTTAAAATCTATTATTGCAAGCTTTTGTTCAATAATACCTTAATAAAGGGGCTAAAACATCATTTCAGAAGTAAATTCCATGAAACATGTTTTCAATCCATCGATGTTACTGATGGTGTAACAAAAACCTTGAGGGAGAAGGCCTATCAGTCAGGTGTGCTTATTACTGTAAAATGTAATTGTGTTTTATACAGATGGATTAACTCCTGTTACAAGCATTCTGGTTGTCCAACAATTTAGCTTGCTTGCCCAAATTTATTTATGTTTCACCTGAGTACAGAATTAATCAGTACCTGATTATTAGACTCTGGGGCCCAGAAGTAAATTAAATAAAAGGCTACATATAGTAACTGAGTAAAAAAAAAAATCAATCTGAAACTTTAAATGCAGTAAGTTACTATGTTAATTATTCACTTCATGGGGTAATGGTGTGTTATGTCTTATTCTGCTTCTAACTGTATGTCTTAGGACAGTGGGAGGAAACCAGAGAACCCAGATGAAGTCGCATGTGACACGGGAAGAACATGCAAACTCCACATGACAAGGGGATGACATGCAAACTCCACATGACAAAGGAAGAACAAGCAAACGCCACAAGACATAGGAAGAACATGCAAACTTCACATGACAAGGGGATGACATGCAAACTCCACATGACAAAGGGAGAACATGCAAACGGCACATGACATAGGAAGAACGTGCAAATTTCACATGACAAGGGGATGACATGCAAACTCCACATGACAAGTGGATGACATGCAAACTCCACATGACATAGGAAGAACATGCAAACTCCACATGACAAGGAGATAACATGCAAACTCTACATGACATAGGAAGAACATGCAAACGCCACATGACAAGGGGATGACATGCAAACTCCATGACATAGGAAGAACATGCAAACTCCACACGACATAGGAAGAACATGTAAACTCCACGTGACAAGGGGATAACATGCAAACTCCACATGACAATGGAATGACATGCAAACTCCACATAACATAGGAAGAACATGCAAACTCCAGACACAGAGCAGGGGTGGGATTTGGAACCCCAACCATGGAATTGGAAGGCAACAGCGCCACCCACTGATCCATCATGCTAAAGTCCTACATTTGTCAATGAAGGCTAAAAAATTATATACATTAAAAAAGTCACAGAAATTTGTTGGCGGCTGGATGATACAGACCTATAAGCTAAGTATAAACATTGTTCTAACTTCAGCTTCTCGGTAGAGCTATGCTCATATCCACAGGTGTAGACATATCAGTAGGCTGCCACAGGGTGGGAGAGTGTCCAGGATGGAGGACAATACCAGAGGGAGCTGGGATCTCTTTTCAGGGCTCCACCCATTTATCCACATCAAAATACCAGCAAATATATTGGTATGTTTTAACCCGAATTCCCTCATCCATTTAGTTTTAAAAATAGCTTTGAGAAGCAAACTAGATCATACTCTAACTTTAAAAGTTAAAACCATGTTTCAGAAATATATGCTTAATTCACTGAGGAAAATTGTAAAGTCAAAAAGATCCACCCCTTCTTCTCCCAGAATCACTGGTTTCAGCAATTGCAATTATGAAAAAAGCTGGGAGCCTAGAGCAACATTGCCAGGAAGAATACAGTGGCCATTACTTCATATCCACACTCACACCCAACAAAACATAAAAAAAAACTTTCCTTTCCTTTCAGTCCTCTGTTTCTCAGAAGTTATGCTCCTTATAACTTATAAAATTATAGAATTATCATTTTTTATTTTTAACAATAAAAAAATGGAACTAAATCAGCCAAATCAATGAACACTCATATGTGGCTCACTTTGATGTTTCTCTACAGGTACGGGACACACACATTTCCCAACGCACCTATCGCTGGCAATTTCTGTGCAACTTTCGGTTTCTTTCCAAAAAGAAACTAGGCCCATAAATAACTTTGCAAGTTTTTTTAAGCTTTGTAAACATCAGGTACTGAAATATTCCCATGCTTTTAGGGAAACTGTACTCTATTATCTTTTACTGAAGACAATTCTGTTCTGTTAAAGGCACAGGCACCAAATCATTCACCAGATTACACTACTCCAAAACTAGTCCATCTGAATTAACTATCTGTGCTACCTGCACAAGTGCAAAGGGTTATTTTTTGCATATTTACAAATTTCTGCTGTACAACTTGGTAATTTTCAAATGAAAACTGAATATCCTTCTGAGATCCAGGAGGAAAATAAGTTTTGAAATACTGACTAAAATTTTGATTTGACAGGAAGAGGAAGTTGGCAGGGTCACACCTCTACACATGAGATTTTGTCTTAAAGCCCTAACTGTCCTCTTGAAAGAACAGGACTTTATTATGGTACCATGTAAAGTACTGTAGTCAGCGTCAGAAATTAATGGAGCAAAGGGCAAAAACGCCCCAAGAAATCTCAGAATGCCCCAAAAAACGATGATTAAAAAAGTGCCCCCAGTATTAAAAAAATAAATATTCTTATTCATTTCATTTAATTAGCATTTTTAACTCTAGCACACACTCATACATACAGTGCCATACACAGCCACACTACATACATAACTTTATGTAAATAAGTATCTAGCAATGGCCAATCTAATTTTTTAATAAAAGTGATCATCCAAAAATAAACAAGCCAATCTCTGCTAGGGAACTGGCTACGGATCATCTGCTTATCCATGGCTTCGCCACCCACTCATCAAGAACTTATACTCTTGCCTAGAGCTGGTATATCGATATACAGTGGAAACCGCCTATAGTGATCACGTCTGTCTGGGTGAAATTGATCACTATAAGCGGATGATCATTATAACCAATGTTTTTCTTCTTTATGTCTCAGGCAGATAACATCTAATTGTTTGTATTTTGTATATTTATTACATGAATATATGGTAATAAAATGGACAGAATTGAAGTTAGAGAATTTTTTTGACAATTTCTAAATACAGTACAGCTGTTTTTTAAACTACAGTACTGCACAAATTAAATTATTGAAGTGTGCATAATTCAAATATGATATAATACCGTATAGTACTGTACATAAATATCCAGTTCAATTCAAATTTATTTACACAGCACATTTTCACAATGTTATATTGTCTCAAAGCGATTATTGTAGTTTCTTGTTGACTCGTTTTTGGCAGTTTATCGTAAACTTTGATGAGTCTATATTTGTTATTGAGAGAAAATGAGTTTCTTTTTCCTGTCATGTTTTCTGTGTCTGCAGCATTAGCCTCGGGTAGCTATCCAGAAGCAGATGGGTTACCACAAGGCATAGTAGGGCGATCAAAGTAAAGAAGAAATAAAATAAATAAAGCAGTTTTATTTTTTCATGTTGTCATGTTTAAAAAGACCCTAAATTAACAGTATAAGCAGACTACTTGATAAGTATAAGCAAATTATTTAAGCAGTATTTGTACCGGAATGATTCTGTCCCAAGTTGTTCGATTCATAAAAGTGGTTGATCACTATAACAGTGATCATTATAAACAGTTTCCACTGTATTTTCAAAAAGAGGTATAGGATGACACCATGCCATTTATGTCGATATATCTTTTATTGTGTGTTACAATCAGTAGTATTCTTTCCAGGTTGCAAACAATGCCAGAGCTTCAGTCAAGACATTACACAGATTCACAGAATTCATAGCTAAAATCAAACCATTCAGTGACCATCTCACGGGGTAATTGATGGAAGTGAAGAATAATTGATACTTGTTCCATTCTGTTTTAAAACATGTTGGCACGAGGTGGTGATTACTGTATGCATTGTAATCTGGGGGTATTTCACATTAAAAACATAAACTTTATGCATTAATCACAAAAAAGTATGCCCAAAATTGTGTAAACACCCCCATTTTTTAGACAGTGGGGGCAGAAATTGTCCCACAGATATTTTTTTTAATTTCCTACACTGACAGTAAAAAAGATGAGCAAACGTGTATTGCTGGGGGATACAGGTGGATTTTGCTGAGGATGAATGTACTGTAGTAAATGTGTGTTAATAGATAACAGGATCACATATTCTGGGCCACTGGATTGATTATTCAGGACTTGACACAACAAGTCCTCATACTTGTCAGACATATCGCTCCAAGTGGCTCGCGGGTGAATGGATACTGAAATCATATCAGATAACAACCACTATTCCCCAAGGCTCTGTTCTTGGTCCTTTCCTCTTTCAGTCAGTAATGTGGCTTTTCCTACCTCCAGGGGCCTTGCTAGAGATATTGCCACCCCTCCAGTCCAGACCAATCCAGTTATTTTCCAGTTTTTTTAGACCACCTGTGACTGAGGGGCCTTTGGAATCATCCTAATTCCCCCCCCTTACGGCGCCCCTGCCTACCACTACTATGCTGAAGACATCCAGATCTACTTGACCTTCTCTCCTGACGGCATCATGGTCTCCACTCTGCTCTCTGCGTTCCTGGCTGACATTGCAGCCTGGATGAGGGACCATCACCTCCAGCTTAACCTCTCCAAGACTGAGCTTCTTGTCTTCCCTGCCAGCCCTATCATCCATCATGGCATCACTGTTCAGCTTGTATCATCCACACTGTCTCCATCAAGGTCTGCCAGGAACCTAGGGGTAATGATAGATGACCAGCTGTTCTTTGCCGAGCACATTACAGCAGTCTCCCAATCTTGCAGATTTATTCTGTATAACATCAGGAAGATCAGGCCTTTTCTGTCTTAGTTTGCAGCTCAGCTTCTAGTCCAGGTACTTGTTGCCTCATGACTAGGCTGTAGCACCTCTCTTCTACTACCAGCTTCTGCAATCAAACTCACAATGTGTCACAATTATTCAAAATGCGGCAACACATTTGAATTTCTTTCAGCCCAAAAGTTCTTATGTCACACCTCTGCTTGTTTCTCTTCACTGGCTCCCTATTGGCACTCACATCAAGTTCAAGTCCTCCTTGTTGGCTTACAGGTTCATCAATGAACAGACACATCTCAATCAAAAGGCTCCTCAAGACCTATATCTCATCTTACTTCCTTTGGTCATCAAACCACTGTGCTTGGAGGTCCCTCCACCACACAAAAAGTGTCACTCCAGATGGTTCTTCTGTGCGGTTCCCCGATGGTGGACTGAACTGTTGAACCACATCTGGTTATTAGACTCCCTCTCTACCTTCAAGAACCACAAGACCCATCTGTTCCAGGAATTCCTCTACCAGCCTGATGCCTCATTATGTTCTCTGAATGTTTTAACCTTAGTCCTATGTTAGCTTTCTGTTCCTATTTCTTATGTTAAATGGGTCGGTGCCGACCCGTGTCTTAAATCAGCCAAAAAATACCCTCAAAACAATTATTTATCATCCAATTTGTTTCTTACCTCTTGGTTACCTTGTTAGGCTTCCGTCTTCACGAAATGATTGGTTTTAATATTTTTGGTACGGCTGTCTGCACCTTTCTTTTGACAGCATACCTCTCGTTTTCAATAAAACAATTATGGTAAAATAAACCTTAAGAGAATTATATATATATATATATAAACTGAATTGGTCTTATCTTGCCTTACATGGATGGGCATGCCTTGCCTAGTGGAAAAAAAATTGTTTCAATTTATTTTGTTTAAATAGAGATTCCTGACAAAGTCAAAAAGCCTTGATGCAGTACACAAATTAATGTGGTGCTTTTAGGCATTTTAAACTTACAAACGGATCACGATAGCAAGGTTAAGCTGCACTTCTGGTCCTTGAATAGTTTTATTAGGCTGTTACTTTGTTAAAAGATGTGCAGTTGTTATACCTAATTGACCCCTGTACAGTATGTTTGCTTACAATGTGCTATTTGCCTTACTTGCTCATCGCTTTGGACAAATGCATCTGCTGGACGTAAATACAAAGTGAATTGTGAACAAAGAGCACGATTTTTCATCAGCTAAAAATCACAACAGAATTTAATGTTGTTGGTTAAGCTATCAAAGTATAAAACAACCAAGGTAGAAAATATGGCGGCATGATATTACATGACAATATAATTGCGCTATGTGCGTGTGTGCAATAATCACCAGGGCTTTAGATGATTGATGTAAAATTTTCGGGACTATATGGACGTTTACTTACTCACAATTTGATAAGCAGATTAGTAATGCGCATAAAATATTAATGAGAGGCATACTGTCACGCCCAAAAGTTAGTAATCTGTATAAATTCAGTGTATCCTTATGCTTATTAAATTCTCTTATTGGAACACGCCACATACTACTGTTTGGTAAATCATGCAAGCAATCAGCACTGATGTGGTGGTGAACAAAGGGACGGCTCAGCAGACACAACTGTCATGGCACGGCATGGCACAGGTGGGAAAAAGGTGACGATCCACTTGCAGGTCCGAGACATTGAATTAAACAGAACACATTAGGGAAAGGCACACATTAAAGGGACCACGAGGGGCCAAAAACTAATGGGGAAAAATAAATACTAAAGAAACCATTAAAAAAAAATAACATCAGGGGACAAAACAACACAGGGAGAAGAACTAAGAAACAAACAGACCTTCTAACGCACAGTAACATGGGCATGAACATGAACAATGACAGACTAGAGAACAGCACGGATGCAGGCACCTAAATAAGAGGCAAAAAATAGGCAAGCAAGTCAAACAAGGGACAGGTGTAACTCATAATCAATTAACCCATCAAGGGAGTTGCAGGAACAATGGGAAAGAGGTAGAAGCAGTAACATTAAAGGAACACAGAACTAAGGGACAAAGCAAACACTAGGGTAACAACACCAAAGAGACGAGGACCATGATACACAGAAATAATAAAACATTGCAGAAGTGGGGAAAACCTAAAAATAGGAAAATACACTAAGTAATAACCAACAAAATAAAAAACCTAATAACCATTCAGCAGGTGAGACTGGCCTCAAGCCAGCCTTGAATCCACAACTGAAGGGTACAGCCTATCAGCTTGCAGCAGCCTATCAGCTTGCAGGAGCCTTTCAGCTATCAGCAACCTATCAGCTATGCAGCAGCCCAGAAACCAAGATGGCACACAAAGGTTGAGGTCTACAAGAGGGACGTTCCGGCATGTTCATTAAACATAAGGATGCGCCGCATTTATACAGATTACTAACTCTGGGGTATCACAATATGCCTCTCATTAATATATACTACTAATCTGCTTCTCAAATTGTGCGTGTAAGTAAACTCCTTATAGTACTGAAATGCCAGCATCCAGACAAATTTTTATGCCCACCATTAGGCCTGTAATCACGTCATATTTGTGGACACTGATTTGCGTCTGTTGACACAACTTGGGGAAATACCACCAACTTATTTGACACTGCATTGGTAAATAATAAGTTCTGTTTGGCTATAGTTTATTTCAGGTAAATCTCCTCTCCTTTTTTGTTTTATCGAAAGTCCATATATCTCAAATAATCATTATGTGAGATTGTGCAACCCTAGAAGAAGAAGCAGCAAGGAACAAAGATTTTAACTCTATAACCTGTCTGGCAAATGTCCTGATGGTAGTATGTGATTTCATTTTAACTCGTAACACCAGATATGGTTTCTATGAGTTGCTGTATGACAGTATAAAATGAGTTAAAGCTGGTGCCTCATGCATCCCAGGACATACTTTTTGTATCGAGCTGAGCGCGGTACTTGGTGAAGCCCTTGAGTCTTACACGCTCCCCCAGCAGCTGCAAGAACTCTTCTAAGGCTGGTCCTGCTGCTTCATTGTTGTACATCTCCTCCTCGCTGCCCTGCCCTGCCAGGCAGTACATCACCCCAACCTTTAGCTGGAAGTTAAGCTGCAGGCAAACAGAAAGAGCATCAGTAGAGGGTGCAGCAATGTCATTGTGATGCGTACAAAATGTGTCTTAACAAAGTGTGATGCAAATGTCGAACATTCTGGTAGAATTCACTGAAGTGTGTGAGATCCACTCGGAATTAAACATACCCCCTGCTCATCCAGCTTCATAAGCTGCTCGGTGACCTTAGGTGTGTTAAGGGCCAATCGCAGGCAGTGCGTGTTCATCTCCGGTACTAGGTACTCCAGAACCTCCTTCAAAGGTAAGCCTCGTGGCATACCATGCTTGGAGGACGAGGGCACGGCATCTTCAAGGATGGACCCCCGTAGTGTTGTCAGCTGCAAAGCAATAGAGAGAAAGGCAAGCATTTGAGTAATATGGGGACTAAGATATGTGCTTAACCTGATCAGGACCGTGCAGGTTCAAAAGAAAAACATGTTTTTCTGCACTTGAAAACAGCAGCCTTTATATCTAACAACCATATAAGCTTTAGGCAGATATATATGTATACAGGTTTCCTTCAACTTGCATCTGGGTTTCATCCCCAAAGTGAGGACATAAGTCAATCTGAACGTATTTCAATCATTATAGAGGAGAGGTCAAAAACATTGTATAACAAAAGATGCAATATCACACGCATTTAACTGACCCTTATAGCTGCAGCTTGATTGGTTTGTTTTGGTTCTTGCCACATGCCTCACAAGTGGTAAAATATGTCCGCTAATGTCCACTACGTCTGCTTCGGACATCTCTCGATTGTATTAAGGCTTATATTGGATGTACGTACAATCAGACGATGGACGACTGTATTAAATCTATTGCTAATATATCACATAAGGGTGGCATTGTGGCTCAGTGGTAATCCTGCCCCCGGTTGTGTGTGTGTCAGCTTGCATGTTCTTAGGCATATTGCAAGGGTTTACCCCAGATCTTGAGTTGCCTCCTGCAGTCTAAAAGCATGTTAAGTGATTTTGTGTCTCTAAATTGCCTTATGCCCTGCTATAAGCACACAGAAATCCAGTGCTGGATAAACAGATGCAAAATGGATTATAACCCATAAATGAAAATAAATAGCTGTTAACTAATAAAACTTACAATTTATGATTTGACAAAGTGATTCAACAGAACACCAACAGTTTTCAGTTCTGCAACAAGCAGGGTTAACGAAGCCAAATATATCCAGAGAAAGCCTTCCGCTGTGAGAGCGATAAGCTGATCCACACAGCATGTTTCATAAGTGGGCCGCAGGCACTGAAACTGACTTTCAGTTCAAGTCAGAAACACCCACACTGTGAATGGCAGCGGGCGAGCTGGCTGACAGGAGACAGGAGCAGGTGCTCGAGTAGCTCAGCAGTGGCATACCTCACTGGTACGGAAGATGATGCGGTAGTTATACTGCGGACCGTGGTCTTTGTGGTCCTCCAGCTTCTCCCTGCGAAGGCTCATGGCCACTGGTCCTAGTGTCTCATCTATCCCGAAGTAGTTCCAGTGCTCTAAAATTATTATAGATGAACTTTCTTTCAAATATCATTTTTTTTTCTGTTTCAAAAATACATGCGTGATATGCGTGACTGACTCTCACATGTTTGGGAAGAGAACTCACCTCTTAAGTAGAAGTACTTCCTATAGTAACAAGAGCCCAGGTCCACGTGTTCCAAAAAGTAGCGTTTCCCCCACTCATTAAACATGCCCTGACTGTCCTTGGGGGCCTCCAGGATGGCTAACGCAGCATTGGGGCAGCGGGAACTGAGCGAGGACTCAAAGGGGCTGTCCTCTCCACTTGCGGATCCCCCACTGCCGATGCTGCCTGCCTTGGAGGGACTGATATCTCGCTCAAGCTCGCCCCCAATCTCATTGCGAAAGCAGGGACAGCTGAGCAAAAGCTCATTACTCTTGTCGTCACCGGGGTCGAGGGTGGGGCTGTCCTTTAAGCTGAGCTCCTCCTGGCTGCCACAGGGGGAGCTGGATGCCCCACTTTGGACAGAGGAGGTCGATGAGGTAGTAGAGGCGGAGGCAGCTGCGGCAGCCGAGGCGCCAGTGGTCATATTCTTGCGCTTGATGGCCGCTTGTCCACTTTGAGTGGCTGTGTTCAGGTCAAAGAAGAGGCTCTGAATGTCAAAATGTGCAAAGCCCTTCTGGCAGACCCACGGCTTGGCAGGCGGGCCGCCATCCTCAGACCGGCCGTCCTCTGCATCCGATCCGGCTCGGGAATCACAGCCATCCCCTTTAGCGCTGCGTAATTTCCGGAAAATGGACTCGCCTCCTGTTTCTGACTTTGATCGCTTTTTGAGGGGCTTCTCCCTCTCCTTTAAGCGACTCGAGGGGCTACCTCTCTGGACACCTATTGGTCCTTCAGGGAGGTCTAACCCCGCCAGTTTGGGGGCTATGCTAAACAACTCCCCCAGTTTTTCAGATACTGAACTACGCTGGTCTGGTAGGTCACTATGGTAACCCTTGAGCATGTCAAAAAAGCTTTCCCCGGAGCCATGCTTGTCGATAGAGGATGTGCTGCCATACTCCCTATGCATGGGGGTCCACCCCGAAAAGGACCATCCTTCAGCCCCATCTCCATCCAGCTCACTGATGGTGATGTCGCTGTTGCTTCGTTGTCGGATGCGCCGCATGCCTTTGCGAGGGGACCCGAGATAGCCATCGGGGGACAGGAAGCGGTTGTCCTTCCCACGGCTGGCACTTTGCATCTTGCTCTTGAGCGTATTCTGGATGTTGCGCAGCATGGACGAGTCCTGAGGGCTGACTAAGTGGCCAAGTTTAGATGAAAGATTACTCGGTGTCCCTCCGACGGTGCTGGGGGAGTCAGTTTCCACGGTAATGTGCCACACACCTCCTCCATCCTTACGTGGAGGCCAGTCAGCCACTCGAGCCCGTACACCCATTTTCGGCACCCCAGGTGTGCACCCAGACAAGTGGGCACTTTCGCTGCGAGGGGGCGGCGCCCCTCCATTGGGCAGGCGCAGGCGGCGAGTATAAAACTCATCCGTGGCGGGAACAGAACCTCCGACAGATCGTTCTGTCTGCGATCGCTTTAAGCTGGTCATGGCTCTGCTTTGCTAGGACGATTAGTATTCGAACATGGCGGCCACCGAGGCTGCCTGCCGCTCGGCCTGGATGCTGCTCCACAGAACCATGGACTGGGCTTTCAAACAGGTCAGTCACGAGGCCGGGGCACCACTGAGGCTATTCAGTACTCCACTGGACCTCATGCTGGCAGACAGAAGAAATCCTTAGGAATTAACAAAAGAGAAATGTGAAAGCTTACTTCTGCAGAAAGAGTCATGATTCTGCACAGCACACTGACCAAAAATGATTAGATTTTGCTTTTTGTAGAAATGCCAGGTTTAGAACCTTGAAGATTCTTCCTCGTCTTGATTGCTACCAACACTCCACGGACAGAATATGGTAAGTTCATGCAAAACGTTCTTCAGTTACACAGTTAGGTTTACTGTTTCAAGTTATTTAACATGATAACTAATACATTTTCAGTGGCTATATATTGAAACATTGATATTCAGTTTGTTGCCGCTTGAGAAATAATCAATTGAAATGCCATGTTCAGGTGTATATTCTGCAAGATTGTATAAGGGCTTTGGCCAGAAGCAACTTCACCACCCTAAACTGTTCAAGAGAGCACCTAATCCTGTGATAGTACAGGCCACAAGTTGGCAACCAGCTACTGAAAATGATATATCTAAATGGGAAGCGAGTGATCACTGTGCTGTCTAAACAATTTAGTTTTTTTCCCCCTCCAAAACAACAAACAACTGAGAATGCTGGGTCAGCCAGTTCCTGGTGCAATTATAGCTAATGGCCTTGCTCATGGGCCCAATTGTAACATCGTTCTGCCACCCATAAGATTTGAACTGCCGACCTTCCCATCACAGGCCCAGAGCCCTAAGCCACTGAGTCACACACAGAAGAGTGGAAGACTGTCAAAACTCTAACAATAATCAGAATGTTCTAATTACTTTCATACAAGAATTTATGAGAAACAGTATAAATCAATGCATGCCTAACTGTTAATTGTCTATTGTCATGGTGTCACCAACTATAGCTGTGTCAAAACAAATTTACACCAGCCTTGGTCTTGTGGCAATAAACATTCTGATTCTGATTGTTTATAGATTAACTACGAGAATGACAATGCAACACAATTAAGTTAATCCAGCTGTTATCTCCATTATAGCTACTAAGGAACTTTTATGTTATATAATTTATATTAATTTTCATACTATATTATTTTCTATAAATTTCACACTATATGTCATTCCATATCTGAAATGAGAAATGCTCCCTCCCCAACACAAAAATCCCCTTTCTCTATTAGTACAACTATTTACTGGTATCCGGGGGCATGTCCTGACTGCAAACTACACAGGCTTTTTAAAGAACAAACATTCTTTTCCTTGATAGATACTACATATGCCTGCATATACATACAGCTTTTTCCTTAAATGTTTATGCAGTATGGTGGCCATAGACAACTTGGGGCCTATCCTGGGAAGTACAGGGCACAAGGCAGTGGGACACTCTGGACTCAATACCAGTCCATCGTAGGCCCCACAGGGCAAATCAGACAGCAGTTCGCCTAATCACATGGATACCCATGTGCCACAGGGCAAATGCAAATTCCACAGAAGAAGCAGGGACAGCATTAGAATTCCAAACCCAGAGATGCAAGGGCATAGTGTTACCCACTGAGCCTCAGGGATTCACATTATACTGTACATCATTTGTGTGTATATATATACATAGCACTACCCATGTACTATTTACAAATGTGAATGATAAAACTACAAATGACAATAACTTTTTTTAACATTTTTAGTTTGAATGTAAATGTATTTGTTATTTGTGATTGTTTGGTTAAGAAATTAGGTTTGCATTTTTAATTTACACGAGAAAGTATACTGAAATAACAAACTTGATTTAAGGTCTCTGCATTCACTAATATTTCTTTCAGCTGGAATGGAACTCCATTCTATGACAAAAACAACATACAAACTGAGCCTGATACATTTTTTTCCCCTAAATTAGATGCATTGTATGTTGTGAACTTTATATCAATATTTGTTTTGCCACTAGAGTATCAGAATAAATTAGTATACCCTGGCAATGCACTTTCACTTGGCAGTAATTTCTTTGCTCAGGTTATTTTCAGACTTAACTGCTGTTCTCAAGAGCACCTTCCAACAAATTTATGAACAACCATTAACAGCTAAATGTGGATACAGAGAGCACATCATAGCCACAATACATCTATCGACACATTGCCGGCTTTGCAGTAACATTCACCCATGCTATCAACAGATTTTGCTTTGATTCTTGTTATATTTATATTGCATCATTAATGTTTTAATTTTATTTTATTCAAGCAAAGACACACACTCTTGCTCACACCCCTCTGTACTCACAAACACAGGCACATAAAAGGGGATGCATTCTTGATTGGTGCAGATATATCCTTATGATTATGCTGCAGGCAGTTTAAGCTCTTCAGAATGAGAAACTGAAGACCTTGTATCAGGGTAGCCTCACAGCAGAAGGTAGCAGCCTCAAGCTCCAGCTATACCGTGCAAATTTATGCTCTAAAAAAAACATCTTTTGACGTTCCCTACATGTATCTATATCTGCCCTGGCTAGGAAATATATGTCATAATTTCAATTTTTGATGTTCTGATGTTTTAAAAATGAGCACAGCAAACCAGATTTATGAAAAATATCTTGAAAGACACTGGGTTACTAATTTGCCAACAGGGATTTTCACAAGCACAGGCTACATTCATGCAGTGCTTGAAAGAGGAAGCTCACACACACATACTGTATGGGCTGAGCGGAGGCTCTATGATTCACCCTGCGTATAAACCATGTGCCTGCTGTAGGAGGTGCTGTCAGAGGATTCATCACAGAAGTAGAGAATCACGCTGGGCATCCAGAACTCCAATGTAATATTTTTGCAGGTAGATTTGAGTCACTACCATGGACTGGGGAACTGCATATTATGCTATTAGATGGCCAAAAATAGCCCAAATCAAGTATGCTTCCCCAGAATTATATTGTAAAATACTGGTAAGATTGTTACGGTGTGGCATGGTGTATGTGGGAAAAAGAAGGTGACGATCCACTTAGTGGCTCATGAGACAAGGAATTTATTAATTAGTAGAAACATCGAAGGGAAAACTCCACAAGGGGTCAGAACTAAATGGGCAAAATAACATCAGGGAACCATAAATCAACATGCTAGGGAAACCAGGCAACAAAGGGAGCAGGAACTAGAAAAACCAAGCAGAGAGAGACAACACACAGTAACAGAGGTAATAACCAACTAGGGAAATGAACAAAGGCAGGCACTTTAATATATTGATAACAAGTACTATCAAAAATAACCAATCGACAAGGGCACAGAACAACAAGACACAGGTGAAGCAACTAACACAAATGAACACAGAACTAAGGAACTAAAGACCTGAAACTAGGGAAACAGGGAAATTCTGCACTAGGGAAATAAACAGGAAAACAAAATATGACATAAAACCAGAACAGAACACAAGGAGGGCAAACCTAGAACAGGAAACTCAAAAGGAAACATAAAACACTGGGGAACAGAAACTCTAATACAAAGAAAGAAATAAGACCGATCATTAACCAGTTTCAAACCCATGACTTGCAGTCCCTAAGCCACTCACTCAACCCGGAGAGCCATGCAATAGGGAGAGCACACTGAGGCTGAAGGACAGGAGTCAGGGTGGAGAACAGGATGGCCAGCAACACCTGCTGCCCAAATGTGCAGAAGACACAGAGGGCAGGGTTCGACAGGCTCGGACCCTGACAGTAGATATTAAATACTACCAAAGTAACAACCAGAAGAATCTGAGAGTAAGGCTATCTGCTCTGTGTGCTTAAAGTCTCACACACACTGTTTGGCTAATTTTTTTTATTTTATTTTTTAAATATAGAGATCTGTTTTTGATCTAGTAATGATATTTCTTTTCCTGTAAAAGTTTATGTCTTTGATTTTAGATGCAGCCTGGTAGGACCACCTGGGATTGCAACTAGAAAATATGATTCATGTTCTCTTATAGTGTTAATACAAGAAATGATTGTTTTCCAAGTCTTGTACATAATACAGATGCTGAAATCTGCAGCAATAACCCTGAATGTCTTAACTTAAAACTTTAAAAAAATTCAAATTCAACTCATGGTGTTCAGCCCCACACAGATCACAGGTGAATAGCAATTGTAGCATGTTCAACTGCATGTCAGGCCTGCATTCAATAAACAAAACCCCATGGAACTACTTCTGTATGCAGACACTGGCACTACAAAGACAATTCCATGTTCAGCACACTGGTTCTAAACTTAAAAAATCCAGCTAGCAGGAGATCACAGGCTAAGGCTTTTTCAAGAGTCACGCAACAGACACACCAAGCACACCTGCCCCCTTACAGATGAGTTGATGCCTGCCAACCACTCAGAATACCAGCAGCGAACCCTGACTAGTGCAGCATTCTCATGTGCTCCAGGTGGGTCCTCAGCTGGTCCTGAGGTGGATTTCATCCGTACTGCTGCCATTTTGAACCATGATCTGCACTAAATGTTTGTTAAGCTGAGGAGGCAGACGAGAGAGGGAGATATGCTGGGGCATGGAGATTTTATAAGCATTCTCTGCCTTCTCTAGGAGGACCTTAAAGAAAGTTTAGAACGTATTACATGTGAGATTAGCATGACAGAGGGTTTTTCACGCTTTAACAATATACATATAGTCCAGAACAGGGGTATGCAACCCTGATCCTATTGTGCCGGTATCCAGTAGGTTTTCTATCCTACCGGGTCTCTGATGAACCTTATCTGATCTCAGGCAGATAGTTATTCAGAGACCAGCACTCCAGTTCAGGGTTGCCTACCCCATTTCCAGAACATGAGATCCTGGTAGGACCTCCCTTGATATATAGTAAAGACTCTGAACTGTAAAGACTCCCAAAGAAAGGTGGCAAGAGAAGTACTCAGTCCAACAAAGCATTACTAGAACCAACCCCTTGAGCCAGGCCTGGGGGTGGTGTTCACTGGAGGCCAGTCCATCCACAGTCCAACCTGGCCAGACTCACTGTTTAGCATGAGCCAGGAGGTTGTTCTCCCCTCCCGTTCATAGCACTCCACACATCACCTTTGTTTCCAAAGTGTGCATCAAAGGCTTCAGTAGAACAACAGGTCCATAGGAGGTCCCAC